ACAAAAAATCCACCATGACTAAGGCCTCCGGGCTGGGTGGTCGCATGTATCGACCACTCCTTCGAGGTTGGGCATGTGTTCGAAGACAAAAAATCCACCATGACTAACGCCTCCGGGCTGGGTGGTCGCATGTATCGACCACTCCTTCGAGGGTGGACATGTGTTCGAAGACAAAAAATCCACCATGACTAAGGCCTCCGGGCTGGGTGGTCGATTCTAATGTTGGGCCGTTGAAGATATGGAGCTTATTGGAGACCTCAGAAGCAGGTCGAGAATTTTTACATGGTTTTGATTTTGTCGAATTCATTTTTCGACTTCAAGGGAAGGTAAATTGGATTCATTACGGATATAGCTCGAGCAGACCTCGGTGGCAGGTCGACGATATTTATTTGATTCAGGTTTTGTTGGATTTGGTTTCTCTGATCTCAGTAACAGGTCGATAGTATTCATGATGGCTCGAGCAGGTTGATGATTCCTTATTTCATTCTGATTTTGTCGAATTTATTTTTAGACCTCAGTGGCAGGTCGAGATGGTACTCGTTATTGTTCGAGCAGGTTTATGGATTTATTGGAGTTGGTTTTGTTGTATTTGTGCTTTTAATCCCAGTGGCGGGAGTTTATTGTGGATATGTTGAGCAGATGGAGGGTTTTATGTGGTTTGGTTATGCTATATTTGTGATTTTGATCTCAGTGGCAGGTCGATCAAATGCGTTACCGGATATGTTGAGCAGTGGAAGGTCAATCAAACTCGTTATGGATAGTTCGAGCAGTGTGGCAGATAGAGGAGGCTCATTTCGAGCAAACTCAGGGATTCATTACAGATAGATCGAGCAGGCCTCGGTGGCAGGTCGATGGCATTCATTACTGCACAAACAGGTTGATTGCGTTTTATCTTGGCTTTGTCGAATTGATTTTTCGACTTTAAAGACAGAGAGATGAGATTCATTCCGTCACGAGCAGGTTGATTGCGTTTTATCTTGGTTTTGTCGAATTGATTTTTTGACTTCAAAGGGAGGGAGATGGGATTCATTCCGTCACGAGCAGGTTGATTGCGTTTTATCTTGGTTTTGTCGAATTGATTTTTCGACTTTAAAGGCAGGGAGATGGGATTCATTCCGTCACGAGCAAGAATATACAACATGCTTGAATTTTAACTTTTGAACTAAGGGGCGATAGGACGAGCTGGTATAAGAGAGCTCGAACATGGTGATCGAAACACAACAGACGTAAATTCAAATTTTCAAATTCAAGACTTCAAGGATTGGTCATTCAGTTCTTGTTTTTCGACCTCAACGGTCTCTCGATTCTCGGCGTTCGACCTCAGAGGCAGGTCTCTTGATTCTCAATTTTCAGCTTTCGACCTCAACGGTCTCTCGATTCTCGGCGTTCGACCTCAGAGGCAGGTCCCTCGATTCTGGGTTTTCAGTTTTCAACCTCAACGGTCTCTCGATTCTCGGTGTTTGACCCCAGTGGTGGGTCACTCGATTTATGATATTAGTGGTCATTCGGTATTCATTTGGGGTCTCGATGCTCATTTGGAGGATTGGTAACTATTTGGTGGTCGAGGATTTATTTAAATGGTAACCTCAGTGGCAGGTCGACGGAAACAATCCGAAGAGGAATTTTCACTCTTGGATCGAGTCATGCTTGTTCGACCAGAGGAGGATTTATTTAAATGGTAACCTCAGTGGCAGGTCGATGGAAACAATCCGAAGAGGAATTTTCACTCTTGGATCGAGTCATGCTTACTCGACCAGAGTGAGGGGGACNNACTAGATGATATAGGATATTATCTCGGACCGGGTTAATGGATAAAGCGAATACATATGGAAGGATAAGCCCACTAAGACATCTAAGCATAACGATATGGGTCAAACCCAACTTGAGCCCAAAAGGTACACTCCCCCTATAAAAAGGGGCCAAAGTATCTCATTCTCTCTATTTCTCTACTCATTTGATGACTACACTTTCTCTCTCTTGATGGAGGACTGACTTAGGCATCGGAGGCCCGACGCCGAGGCCACCCCCGACGTTGGGTTCTTGCCGGTACGGAGGCCGGTCGAGTTGAAGGAGCCCGGATGAAATCTATTTCACTTCACATTTATTAAAAAATCCGACGGTTCGATGAACCGACATGTCAGACTAGTTCATTTGAACCGGCACTTGGATATAGTCGGGCCAGTTCCAGGTCCAGCTTTTGAGGCCCGACGACCCGCCGGCCGCATTTGAATAATAGTTTAGTAATGATTATTGTGTATTGATATGTGATATAATCGACATTCAGAAGTAATTCAAAAGTAGAGTGGTGGTAATTTTGTGTACTTTGTAGTTAGATTTATAGCAGTAATTCATGTATTAGATTTATAAGAACAATCGCGTGACCTTAATGCTCGGGCGCTAAATTCTTCCCAAGTTATTAACGATAAGGGCAATACGAACATTTTTTCGGCCGCCGGCGGACGCTTTTGTCGACCATTCTCGTTTTCCAATTCATATGATCACCTTCTCCAGAACCTCATCCGCCCTCCGCAACCACCTCCGGTCGGTTCACACTTTTCCCTCCGCCATCGACCCTTTGGGCTCCCTCCTCAGCCTCCTCCATCTCTCCACTGAAACCCACTCCCTTGAACTCACTCAGCAAGCCCACGCGCGAGCTCATCGGTGGGGCCTCGCGCAGCAACCCCTCATCGCCCAGAAGCTCATCTTCACCTGCTGCCTACTCAAACGCCCCACCGACGCGCGCCTGGTTTTCGACTCGACCGCTGTTAAGAGCACGGAAATCTGCAACACTCTTCTGAGCGGGTATGGCAGGAATCAGCTTTTCCTCGAGAGCTCGCGCATTTTCAGGGAGATGTGCGAAGGTTCCAATTTGCCGTCGCCGAATGATTTCAGTTTCTCCATAATGTTTAAGGCCGCGGCCGATTCCGTGGAGATTTCGCACGGGAAGGCGGTGCAGGGGAGGAGTGTGAAAATGGGGCTCGCATTGGATACAGTGGTGGGGAATTCGTTGATGTCTATGTACGGTAGGTGTGTGTGCTTTCATGATTGTCAGAAGGTGTTTGAGGAAATGCCTCAAAGGAATGTGTCATCATGGAACGCCTTGATTTCAGGTTACGTAAAACTAGACTTAGAATGTGGGAAAAAAGACGTCTTATTTAGACACAGGTTGTGGGACTTTGTAAAACAAATGCAAAGTGAGGGATTCAAATTGAATGCATTCACCACTTCCACTCTCCTTCCATTGTGCAGTGGGGAGGCTGAAAACGGTGAACATGATGAAAAATGCGATCACGGAAGGGAATTACACTCTTACATTGTTCGGAACGGGTTGGATACAACTTACACACCGGATAGTGATGTTCATATGGGGTGTTGTTTGATCGATATGTACTCCAAGAACGGTCGAGTCCATGTAGCGAGAAAAATTTTCAATAGATTGAAATTCAAGAATATTTTTACTTGGACTGCCATGATCAATGGCTACGTGCACTCTGGGGGGTTTGATGAAGCCTTGTTCCTCTTCCGGCAAATGCAACAGCTGCATGGGGTGGGACCCAATAAGGTCACGCTTGTTGCCGTATTGCCAGCTTGTAGCTCGCTCAGTGGTTTGCTAGGCGTGAAGCAAATTCATGGCTTTGCGGTTCGAAAGGAATTAAATCACGCACTCTCTCTATGCAACGCCTTAATCGACACGTACTCCAAATGCGGGAGTTTGAATTACGCGACTCATGTGTTTGAATACGAGTGTGTTCATAAGGATGCTATTTCGTGGGGTTCGATTATATCCGGGCATGGCTTACATGGCCAGGGCCAGAATGCAGTTATCCTTTTCGATAAAATGCTCCGTAACGAGATAAAACCGGACACTAGCGTAGTTGTGGGCGTTCTCTCCGCATGCTGTAAATCGGGTCTCGTAGACCAAGGAACGAGAATATACGACCTGATCGTGAACAATTACAAAATCAAACCTACTGTTGAGATGTGCTCTTGCATGGTGGACATGTTGGGCAAGTCGGGAAAGCTAAACCATGCCCTCGATTTTATCAAGAGCATGCCGGTCGATCCGAGTCCCAGCATCTGGGGAGCGCTTTTGAGTGCGTGCGTGATTCATGGGAACAGTGAGATGCAAAATGTGGCTTACAAGGCCCTCATCAAGTTAGAGCCTGACAATGGTTCGAATTATGTCTCGCTGTCGAATTTATATGCCGCTTCCCAGAAATGGGACGTTGTGGCTCGGGTAAGGTCGGCCATGAGAGATAGGGGGCTGAGGAAGGTACCCGGGTGCAGTTGGATCAGTATAAATAGCTCGACTCATAGCTTTTTCGTGGCAGATAAGTCACATCCTTGTTGCGACTCAATTTACGAGATGCTTGATGGGCTCGTCTCGGTTATGAAGGTGATGCGTTCTGGTTTGGATTTGCCAACATGTTCTTGTCCTGATTTCGTGTATTTGATGGAAGCATCGTGAGGTGAGTTGGTGATGGTATCATCATTTGAAAGTGTTTATTGTTCGCCAGCTTGTTAAGTTATTGTATGTTGTGGATTTTCAAGGAATTAAGAAATCTTAGTAATCGACTTTATGCATTCATTATGTCCAATTGAGCATTGAAAATATGTGTTCAAGCCTTTTAACTTGTAAAACCACAAGTAGAGTTAGTTACCTTCTACAAGTTACAGCCTGAAGGAAACAACTTTCACTCTCAAGCAGTAAAAAAACTAACTAAAAGAATACTCGCTGCTAAAATTCACCAGCTTGTCCTGCGGCCAACTATCCCATAACACTCTTACGATACTCTTAACTCACGTGCGAAGAAGTTTCTTTTTCGAGCATTCTGTAGATCCTCATAGGTGGGTGGAGTTCAAACTAGATCGACCATGCAAGTTTACCCTCGCATAGGAATTGCAGATTCAAAACCTCACCTTGACCGAAAGTTCTGCAATCTTGATTCTCCACCGAAAGAAGTCGGACTGTTGTCCCAAAAAACCTATACAAAATATTTTCACCTCTGCAAATCAGATTCCCTCACCCGACGATAAGAATAGACTGAGTCGAACACTACCCGGCCCACTCTCCTATTCCTCCTCGACTTTTTACTCCTAACTCTCTTTCTACCCCTGTCAGGAAAAATCTGGGACATCGGCACATAATCAATCCAACCTAAAGGCAATAAAGCTGCAAAAAATTGTACAACGATCCCTAAAGGCAGGCTCGAGTAATCACCGGATGTTATCCCGAGAGATGAGGCCAACACGACCCCGAAGAACCCGCTGATTATCGATGACAAACACAAAGCTGACGCCAAAAACGACATCAATGACCCCTCACACCCTGGTGGGGCCAGGCTAGCAAAAAGCACATGAAATGGCAGGAGCTTGAATTGGGCCACAGTCTCCGCCAGCCCAGAAAAGCACAGGGTGTAAATCTCGTTCGGGATCCCGGCCCCAACATTCAGCTGCTTGACAAGCGCCAAATCGAGAAGAAGCGAAAACGCGTACACGATTTGCGTGATCCCAACCAGTTTTCTCATAGGTACATTTTTCCCGAATCTATTGTACAACACAGCCAAGGAGAGCAGCATCAACTGGCCCGTCACCTTTGACAGCCCAATAATCGACGGGTCCAGATGGAGGCTCTGAGTCTGGTAGCAAAACAACGAGCCCGAAAGCATCGGGACCAATATAATGGACGAGACAGCCCAAATCAATGGACGCCACACCGAACTGTCCCTAACTGCCACCATTAAATCGGAATATTGCTTCTTAATGATGTCCGAAATCGATTCTTGAAAAACCGCATAATCCGAGGGCTGGGGTAGGCCGAGTGATTCCTCTCGAGTTCTTAGACATAACGTGAGTTGGAGGGCGAGTATGGCAGCAAAGGCTAGGAACATGGATTTGGGCTGTTGGGTCTTGAGCAGCAAAAAGCCACCGAGCAGGTTGCCAAGGACCCCACCCAAGGCAGAGGCCATGAAGGCGTAAGATTGGAGGCCTGGGGTTTTGTTCTTCTGGCCGTATTCTGCAATGAGCGCATCTTTGGCTACTTCGGCTAAGGATGCCCCAAGGTTGCTTAAGAGAACGCATGTCATCAGAGGACGATAAGCTTCACTTGCAACCGGGATTAAGGCTAGTGAGACCCAAGAGACAATCTGCAGGAGAACTGGAAAAGATCAATGCATTAATTAATGTCCACTCTGTGGATGAATGGAAGCAAGCATTTGGAGCTGAAACGGGGATTTAATTACATTGAGACCAGGATTTGTACATGGGATGAGCATTTAATGAATAATGTAACAAGTTTTTCTAAGCTACAAAGTTTAACACTTGCCACTCTTTTCAGGTGACAAGAGGTTGTTAAATTTGAACCAAAGATACCTTATACAAATATACAGAAGCAATTTTTGCTAACTTTGCATGTAGCAGCTAACATTTATCCGAATTTCAAGATCCTGAAAACCAAACAATAGTTTCAAGAAAACGATCACAACGCATAAAAAAAATCTATTGCCCGGTAGTTTCATGTCAACTGAGATGATTACTCGGAAGGTACACACTACTTTCAGACGCAGTAATTTTTCGGCCGAATATCGCAGTATCCCTAATAGAAACGTAAGAATATTTTTAGGTACATTACCACCAATAGAAATGTAAGGTATTCTATGAGCACCGCCAATGTAGAGAGCATCAGATAATATCCCATATAAAGGCTTTGCCACCATTGGCAAGTTAGCCGAACTCTGCACAAGCTGCAATGTGGATGGATGCAGGTTAAGATTACGAGCCATGTGGTAATTCAAGGCCAACCAAGGGAAACCCCTGAAACCGTTCACGTAGTAACCTAGCCCGCACAATCTCATCATATCTCGGCTGCCCATTTGTAAAGATCCGGCGGTTTTTACTCGTTTTTTTTCTTCATTTGGGTTAACGATAGCAGGATGGACATTGGTTCTTCTGTTCTTTCGGCATTCTTTCACAGTGTTTTTGGAGTTCGAACAGTAAATCTTAGGATTCTTGAGATAAGGATTGATTGTAAGAAATGGGGTTTTGGCAGAAATTAAGGTTGGGATCATGATAAACCTTGAAGAATTTTTGAAAAAAAATTGTTGAAGATTGTTTGTGGAAGGAAAGCGAAACTGCCGCCGGAGCCAGAACAGTTTTGGTAAGGTTTTACTGGAAGTGTGTGTGTGTGTGTGTGTCAAGTAAGAATCTCGAAATTACGGGAATTTGAGAGATGAAGAAGAGAATAAGGGGAAACAACGAGAAATCTAGAAGAAGTATATGGGAGGAACACGCCAAGGATTAGTTTTGATTTTATTTGACAAGAAGATGTGAGAGTGTTGAAGAGGGTTCCAGCAGACGACGACGGCCGTTTTTATGTTTTTGAAATTATGTTTTCCTTTTTCCAGAGATTTGTAGGGACAGGAGACGAAACCAACGGTGACACTATATCATGATTCCGGGAAATGCTTACGGAACCATTCCGTCGGATTTGTAACCGTTAGATCATCATATAATCGTCAGAGATAGTTGATCTAACGGTTACAAACTCTGACCGAATGGTTCCAAACGTGACCGTAGCATTTTTCTCATGATTCCTATTTTGATATGGATTTTTTATTTATTTTTTTTTTTAAAATGATGAATAGTGGTTTTTCATATTTATCATGTATGACTCGAATTCTAACGAAGACTGCTACCTACTGAGTTACCTTTTCTCGTCATATTTGGTGTGAATTTAACGGTATGGGATGAAGTTAGGCAGTTTTGCTATGGAGTCATTGGATGGTTCGACTTATGGAGTCATTCACGCTTATTCACCAATAGTTCACACGTGTCCTACAATAAATACAAGGCTTAATTGCAATAAAAACCACAACCTTTGTTGTAATTGCATTAAAATCAACCTTTTCAACTTGGCATAAAAATATCTAACCTTTATTAAGTGTTGCAAATTTGTCTCGAAAGTTGATTCCGGCGAATTGATGCTGACATGGCACATCGGAAAAATGACGTGGAACCAGAAATTTGACATGGCAATGAACATTTTAATTTGGATGACACATCATGTTACACCTAGGATGACACGTCATGTACCTGACAGTTAGGAAAGCCACGTCAATCTCTACTAATTTGATAAAACACCAAACTCAACCCGATTTATCAGAAAAAAAAAGAACAGAACTTCATCTCGCGCTGCTCTCTCTGGCGATTTTTTCTCTTCTCGGCGACTCTCTCCAAAAAATCTGCCGTCGTTCTTGATTCTTCACCCCAAAAATCGATTGGTGCTACAAATCCTAACAGGTAGGTATCCTTTTTCTACTATTTTGAATTCCCCCAACAAAACCCTAACCCTAACAAGACATGAAAAGAAGTGTTGTGATGAAGATGTTGTGAATTTGTTGAATTTTTGAATAAATGAATGGTGTGAATTTATTGAACTTTCTGCTACAAACGGTTTGATGATATTGAATTTATTGAGGAATTCTTGGTTCATGAGGGTGGCTAATTATCCCCTAGGTTTGTTGGTATACTAATGTTGAAAATTATGACATCAAAGTTTACTTTTGAAAATGAATGGGTGGGGTGAATAATTAGATATATTTTGGTGCAGAAGTGTTTGTTATGCTTTCTGATGTAGTTTATAAAATGAAAGAAAAAGAGAAAAGGGCAGAACAAGAAAGTCTGAAAGCTCGATAAAACAACAAGACATATAATGCACGCACAAATTCTATTTTCTTATTTAACCATCTCCATTTGTTATATTCAATTCCTCATGATGTAGCTGGATTAAGTAACTAAGAGATAATAAATCAAAAGAAATAAGCAAGAATAAAATCGTAGATGACACATGCAATTTAACTTTAAATAAATAAAACAAAATATCTAATATCCCAACAACGACCTATCTCCCAATTCGTAGCGAAAGATCAAGAAACACTAGCAAAACCTCATTGAGGTGGTGGGCCAAAATGACCCTCATTCATATGCCATTGATGCATTTGACGGATCATCGCCATCATTTCTCTTTGGTCCGCTCTCATCCCCATCATTTCATTCTCCAAGTTGGCCATCCTCTCTCCTAAGCTCAAAGGAGGAGGTATTAGAAGCCTCTCGACTCCTTGAGTAGAGCTCTCCGGGATATCCATGTGATCATCTCCGCCATGGTCATATGCATCTTCCTCCTCAACACTCGGGTGCTCCTCAACTCGTTGTCGGACATTCCTTTGCGAGCCTCCGACCGCCCTTCCAAATTCCTCTTGCACTGCGTTGACGATGGCAGAATGTTCCTCGCTCACCATCTTGATATTGATTACATCGTCATCACTCTCGATTGTGGTCAAATGGGTGTTCGGCAATAGAAAGTGATCGTGCGCCCGTTGCAACAACAAATAACGTTCGGTTTCACGACGCACAAAATTCATTGTCTTAAGAGCCGCCATGTTAATGGAACCCCACAGTAGGTAGCAATAGCTGTGATCATGCCACCCACACAAATTTGTCCCGACTCCGAAATAGCCGCCTCCCATAAATGTGTCGCCACCCATTTCCCGGTGAGCCCGGGCTTGCTCTGAAGCATGCACCATATGGCCGTGAGCTCACGAAGAGAACATCCGCCCATCTCTCCTCTGGCAAAGATAGTGCTTGCAACCGCCTTTTTTAAATACCGCAACACGTGATTGCGAATTGATGTTGCCTTGGCCGACCTCGGAATGAACTTCGGAGAGGGATTAGATGGTGTCCCGATAATTAAGCTCCAAGCATCATGAGCATTAAAAGACGAGGGAATAGTTGGGTCTTCCGGGGCTCTATACACCTCATTTTCCAAAGTTTGGACATCGAGTGTGTAGTCTTGATTTTTAAGACGAAACTTCAACGTTTTTACCATGTGGTCATACCCCGTATTCTCGACCTCCAATGTGCTAAGAAACTTCATAGTAAGACCGGTGTAGGTTGGCCATTTTTGAGTCATCAAGTACTCCCACCCGGCTCGCCGAATGAGCTTCAACACATCGTCATAAAGGCCAAGAGTAACAAGTGCCTTTTCATCCATATACCGGGTTGCTACCATTCTCAAATTCGATAGAGTTTTCCACCTCCTCTTCTCATCGGCCGTCTTCAATCGAACATTAAAGCTTCCCGGTTGTATAGCCGCGGCATCCGACCCCCTTCCTCGGCCTCTACCTCCCGAACCTCTTGCACGATTCATTTTATCCTGAGACAAATAGGTACTAAAACTAAAATAATCACAAGGCATATCTTGTAATAAAAACAACTAATCCCATTGAAAAAGAGAGTTCTATAGGCTTATTGGCTCCTTCAACACCATATAAACAACTCAATTATCCATAAATCTATCAAGCCAAATGACTAAGAGCATAAGGAAACTACAATTCAAACACATATCCACGAAAAATCTAAATTCAAACGTGCCCACCACATGTTCGAAAGATTGCTCAAACGAAGTTCTTCAATTAAACTCAACAAAATGAGCAAAAAAAAAAAAAAAACACCATAACAACAAGCAACACAATAACTCCACATCAAGAGATAATAAGTACAAATACTTACCAAATTCGTGGAGACAATGCAAATTCCCGAGCCTCTTTCATAGGTGAGTTGAAAGCCTACTTTAAGTTCCAAAAGAGAAAAGAAATTGAACACTATGAACTTGTTATAAGTGAATGATTATGAGGCTAATTCAAGGATGAGAAGGCTTTGCAATTGCAGAGTATGCAAAAAGATGGTGTTCTAGGGTTTTAGAAGTGAGAAGGGGCGAAAATTTTATAAGGCAAAGTGAAGGAGAAGCTGTTTTTAACTTGTTGTCAGCGCGACACGGGCGGTGACACGGTCACCAAGCCCGTGTCGATGTCCGTGTTACCCCCTGGACACCTTTTTTTTTTACGCGACACGGGCCATGACACGGTCACGATGCCCGTGTCTGAGCCCGTGTCACAGTATTGGGCATCTTAGCATTCTGTTTACTCGACACAGGCCGTGACACGGTCACAATGCCCGTGTCAGAGCCCGTGTCACAATATTGGGCATTTTAACATTTTGTTTACAAGACACGGGACATGACACGGTCATGATGCCCGTGTCTGGGCCCGTGTCACAGTCCTGGGCAACTGAGCATTCTCTTTACTCGACACGGTCCACGACACGGCCAAAAAGGCCGTATTAGGTGGCCGTGTCGCAGCCCTGAAATCAAATATTTTTTTTTTTTTTTTT